ACGATTTATTTAATATCTAAGTAATTACTTAAATACTAATCATCAGAAATATATTTATTGTAAATATAACGGAATACTATTATTACTACAAAATTTTACGTTTCTTATTTAGTAAATTGAACAAAGGATTACAAATTTCATACCATTCTGAATACTTGCAAAAGCTTCGATGTGAGTAGTTAATGGTTTCTTTTTAATAACTCTTAATCGCAGGTGCACGTTGCTTAAATACAAGCGCGTCAAAATCGGCGATCGATATCCTGATCGCTAATTGGTCGAACGCGGAGGCTTGTTTGCGTCGCATTCTTTTAAAGATCGTAAAACATAAATCAATCGTATAATTTTATCGGTAGTGAACAGGTTTTACAAGATCGCTATGATCACCTGATATTTTCTCGATGGGCTCATCTATGAAATTATCACTTGTGAACCCATTTCCTTGAATATTTTCATTTTCAGTTTTCCGATTTTAAATATTAACGATCTAGTTTTTTAAAACACTCAGATACTTTTTAGTCCTTTTAATTATTAATAGTAGTGCAAATTGACGTCCTCCGTGATATATTTTTCAACATTTCTATCATTGTCTTTTCATGTAATTATTCTTACAGTTTTTATTTAAATGCACTTAAAAAAATATATTTGCAATGTACTTGAATTTTTTTAAAATCTCTAGTGCAATTTGTTGATTACAGTTAATAATGTAAATGTATTGATATTTTACTATGAGTAAATATTGTTCTTTCCTGCTCTTGTTTTTCGCGCATAAAGTGTTTGCATTTGCATTATAAGCGCGCGTATGACACACAATTCACTAATTACATTTATTGAGAAAATATGATACACATTCAATATATTTTTTGTGTTATGTTGATAAAATTTTTACAAAAATATTCACGATATTTTTCTGATTAAAATGAGACCAAATACGGTATAATTCGGTCCACACATGCGTATGTACATACGGAATAAGTGATACTATTTTTTGTAAACAATATAACGATGTATGTGAATTGTTTGTATTTGCATTATTTTTAAAGAAATGAAGATGACCTTCAATTTTTTAAATCTATTTAAATTCTCTTTTTAACATATCAGTAAATTACAATTGTTCCCAAGCTGTTTAGGAACTGCTTGTGAAGAGTCCTGACTAGTGTCAACATTAGCATAAAACTCCTACATATATGTATTCTTATGTATCCTTCAGAGGTCATCAGAGGTCGAAAATCGTTTCTTACTCTCCGTTAATTGATCAATGGCAATGCCGCTTACGAATAGTTAACGTGTAGAACCAAACGAACTCTTATAGAGTCTTTACTGTATTTTACTTTCGCAAAACTTTCCATTTGTGGAAGGCTCGCTGTTTTGAATGACGAATCATGATTGGTTGTGCGTCATTGCCTAGTTCTGGTTTGAGGCGGGACCTATTAATGTAAACGAGTGGTCAGAAACGTGCGCAGCGCGTGATACAAACATGTTAGCAAACCGGTAGAACTAGGAGGCTCGCCTCGATTCATTTTCATCTATTGCCGAGGTCAACATAAAAAAAACGACAGAACGATTTCAAAATACTTGATAAATATCCGCACATATATGTATGCAAATGTGACTTTTATTGAAAATAGGAATACCGTAATCAATAGTGTTTGCAAGTTATCAAGCACACATTAGTGCTTGATAAACTGTATTTCGTGTTCCTTTCATTGTAGCGATAATTATAATCACGTGAATAAATGTTTTTAAAATTAATATTAAATTTGTTTGTAATATTAAAATAAGATAAGAACGTATAGAAATTAGAGTAACTTTATTTACATTGAGTGTACTTATAGTGAAAGAAAAATTATTAAAATTTTCATAGTAATTTTTATTCATTTAAAATTTATTTTGTGGGTGACATTACAGTATTTTATCGTTTATGTTTTACCATATGCATATCTTACTTGTGAACTAATGTGTGTGTGAGATTATTCATATATGGATATGACTACTTTGGATTAAATTTAAATTGGACAATTTGTTGATATTTCTCATTAAGTGCACTAATTGAAAGTAATTTCAACTAATGTATATAGAATTATTAAAGAATAATTTGGAATGTTTAAAGTTTTTAATAACATGTAATAAGTGGCTTGATCAAATTGTTAAGTTTAAGAGATATGTATTGAAATTTCAAAACTTTATGTTATTATAAATAATATAAGTTAGTTTGCAAGTTATAATTATAATTACAACATAAGAGCACATGAATTTGTAAATGTATTTAAAAAGTTATTTTTCTAAAAAGAAAATAACTGTTACAAAACATGACTAATGCATAAACAATGACTACTAAGTTTGAAAACTGATTTAGTGATTCAGAAATTTCATTTATATTACTTATAACACTTTCTTCTTAACAAAATTAATCTACCTATACCAACAAATTCAAAAATTATATTACTATTTATAAACTGTGTAAATAAATTATTAATGTTCCTTACATATATTTATATACAAAAAATTAATTATATTTATAATACATATAAATTCATTTACACAACACTGAATTCTTAAGAAGTCAAACAATAAACAATTCCCTTATACCTAGTCATAATAAAAGTCTTTACCCAGAATAACACGTTTTTAAATACACAAATAAATTATTTAATGCTAAATATATCACTTATTGTGGACGTGGCATACAATACTAGAATTATTTTGTCTTCTATCTAAGACATCAAAAGCTTGGATTTGAAAAAGTGCATCATGCTATTAAAATTGTATTACGATTTTAAACCATTTTTATATTGTTTTGAAACCATACATAATAAAAATTGCTATTTCTTAAGTATAAGGTATACTCCTATTACATTTGTATTTTTAATAAAAAACAAATATAATTGTAATTATTACACATCTGTTTAACAAATTAAAATAAAATGTTTAATGTCATATATTTAAAGACCATACATTTCTTT